GTAGTCAGCATGGATTTACAAAGGGGAAATCATGCTTAACCAACATGATAACACTCTACAATCAAGTGACTAGCTTGGTACGTGTGAGGAGAGCAGTGGATGTTGTTTGCCTTGACCTTGGTAAGGTTTTTTACTTGGTAAGGTCTCCCATAACATCCTTGTAGACAATATGACAGAGCATGGATTAAGTAAGTGGGCAGTGGGGTGGATTAAAAACTGTCTGAATGACCAGGCCCAGAGGGTTGTGATCAACGTCTTCATTAATGACCTGGACGATAGGGCTGAGTGCACCCTCAGCAAAGTTTGTAGATGACAAAAAACGGAGAAGTGGCTCATGAGCCAGAGGGTTCTGTTGCCATTGAGAGGAACCTTGACAGGCTGGACAGAGAGGAATCTCACCAAGTTCAACACAGAGAAATGCAAAGTACTGCATCCAGGGATATCTGGGGATAAGCCCCTACACCAGGACAAGCTGGGGGCCAACTCACTGGAAGGCAGTTCTGCAGAGAAGACTTTGAGGTCCTGATGGACAACAAGCTGACCATGAGCCAGCAACGCACCCTCGTGGCAAAGGCAACCAGCAGCATCCTGGGCTGCTTTAGGAAGAGTGTTGCCAGCAGAGGGAGGCACAGGTGAGGCCACATCTGCGGTGCTGTGTGCACTTCTGGGCTCCCCAGTGCAAGAGACATGGACTTAGTGGAGTGAGTCCAGCACAGGTCGACAAAGGTGATGAAGATTCTGGAGCATCCTTCACATGAGGAGAGGCTAAGGGAGCTGGGACTGTTCAGCCTGGAGAAGAGAAGGCTTGGGGGCGATCTTATAAATGTATATAAATACCTGATGGGAGGGAGCGAAGAACAGGGAGCTGGAGTCTTCTCAGTAGTGCCCAGTGACAGGACAAGAGGCAATAGGCACATGAAAGTCAATCTGAACACCAGAAAACACCTTTTTGCTATGGAGATAGTCAAACTGTGGCACAGGTTGCTGAGAGAGGTGGTGGAGATATTCAAAACCTAGCTGGACATGGTCCTTGGCAACTGGCTGTAAGTGTCCCTGCTTGAGCAGGGTGTAGGACGAGGTCCATTCCAACTTAAATGATTCTGTGATTCTGTATATTCCTTTCTCTCCTCCACAACAAATAAACAAGATGAGATCCGTGTCATACTTGACAGTACTATTGCACAATATGGTTTGTGAAGTATGTTGGAAAACCGAGCTCTGAGCCTTATAGCTGAACTAATTATCTAAAAATTAATTTGCAACACAGCAGTTAATTTGAAAAATTAACTTGTGGAAGAAGCTTTGGAAGAACAGAGGCAGGGTTGCCCTTTGACAGAAACATAGCTTTTTACTCTGTGATTTTATCCCAGGCTTGTAGAAGCGTCTTTTTCCTGAAGACTTTTTTTTTTTTTAAAATGCAGAATGTTTCCTTTAGAAACAATTTTTTTCTCTTACAAATTTCATCTCTTAAAAAAGAATCAACATGTTTTCTGGTAAAGACTGCTGACTAGAACATCCATTTCATATCCCAGCAGATGACCTCTGTAAATTAATCAATCCCAGTTCTAATGAGTGACCTGTTTAAAATAGATCTCTTCAGCGTGTGTTTTCATGTCTTCAGCCTTTAAACTGAGTTAAAGTGAATCCCTTCACACAATTTCTAGAAATAATCTGTGGTTTACCATTCAGATTTTTCTGAAAAATCCTGGTGTTTCAGCCCAGTGTTGGAAATTCATTTTGATTAACATTGTTTTAAATATAAGCCCCTTTTTGGTGCTTGTTTGTAACTGGTTCAGTATTTGATTCTCTGCACCCAAGCCTAGCTGTGCTGTTCATTCCTAGGCTGAGCTGCACACAGCTCAATACCTTTTACATTACACTCTGACTGCACAGGAACGGAGCAAATAACAGCTTTCCGAGTGCAGCTTTACAATTATATTTTACAGGGATGGGGCAGGGGGAATGACGACGACCAGACGGATGGGGGACACGGTCTGTGTCTGATAATTCAGAAAAGCTGCCATTAAAGGATAATAACTCAACATAATCTTTTGCATGCTAGTGCATGCTTACACGTCAGTTACTACTAAACTGCATACTACTTCTGTGGAAAGAAAAAGAATGAAAGACCTGACTGGACTTTTATGACCCTTTAAAGATACAGTAGCCTTGTATTTTGTGGCTCTATGTCCACACACCCTATGTTGTGCTTACGTGGTTGTGGGTTTTTAAAAAATGTGCATTACTTAAATATCTATTTTCTATGCTTTTATAAAGTAATACAGTAATTACCTAGAACAGCTAATGAGAAGAGAGGAAGATACAGAAAGGATATTCCTTACTGAAGATGAATGTTGTTCAGTTTCTGTGACATAAATTGTATGTAAACTGCTACTTAAGTTCTTATTTTCTTGGAAAGTGATAAAAGATGCAGACAACCGATGCCATTTTACATGCACTAGTATGTTGATAACTCTAGTAGAAGTCGTGGGATTTTTGGTGCCCTTGCACATGTTCTTAAAATAGGGGATAATTAAGATAATTAAAATTATACTCCTTACTGCAGAATGGTCGTTAAACGTGCTTGATTCTAATGTTACATTGTACTTTCATTTAAATCAATGGAAACACTACTTTCCTGAGTACCTAAACTGTTCATAGGGTTGCTTTTGTAGAGTAGCAATGAGAGGCAGTTGCTGTTTTGTTAGTAACTTTGAAAGGCATGGAAAACCTAATACCAATTTTAGCAGGAAAGAAAGAAGGATTTCTGTCCCTGGCTGAATGTGCAATCATCAGGAGAAAAAGAAAATTCTGAATATACGATTTAATCCGTGGACTTGTGAACGTGCAATTTGTTTATTTTCTGCTGCTGTTAACAACTAAAGGTTACGCAGCTGTTACATATTCACTTGAAAGCTTGTTACTTGCTAGCATGTTCTCTCGCTCACACTCGTGCACACTCATGCACACTCATGCCTCCTGCCCCGCACCTGAAGGGCAGCCCACCAGGATATCCTTTGGGAAACAGCAGCCCCATTTCCCAGTGGGAGCTGTGTGCAGTTGAGCTCCCTGATCTCAGTGCCGTGTGACTAGAAACGCAAGGAGCAGATTGACATCCCGCACGCACTCTCCAACTGGTCGGATAGCCAAAAAAAAAAAAAAAAAAAAAAAAAAA